TACTCAAAGATTCGGGCCTCCGGCCCGTCAACCCCGTCACTTAGACTAAGCATGCATGGTTGTACATTTATCGCTTATTTTCGTCAAAAATACCCTCTAGCGTCTAAATGTTTGGAGCTAGAGCAAAACGGACAAAATTTTCGCCCGGAGGGCTCTACTTTGATGTGTTACCCCTTAGGAACCCAGATTTTTTTTTAAAAAAAACACTCATTTTTGGGACATGTGGTTTTTGACTTTTTTTAAATCAAATTTTTGAGCTAGATTGCTCATCTTTGAACTCGATCTGTCTTTTTATGACACAAAACGACCCCAAGAATCCCAGGTCGCTCACTCAATTCGTTCTCGAGTCATCGTGCGGACAGACAGACAGACAGACACACAGAAAAAGTTTTTTCCGACTAGACGGAGTAATAGACATGATTATAAGTGATTACAGGGTCGTGTACTTTTGATTTTACGAGTTGTAGACCCCTCGTAGCAAGGCCTGCGGCGCTGACACCCGAGACGAGTTAAGGAGAGGGTATATGTGAACAGTTTCTTCCGGGCCCAAAGTTTGACATACTCGAACCATTTGTCGGGGTCTTATTACTCTAAAATAAGGCACATGAAACTTCTGCAGTTCAGTAACGATTTTCATTTTGAGTTCGAATTTTGTCAGATTGTTTTGTAAAAATGAACGTTTTAGTGATTGGCTGAGCGATTAGCGAAGCCTATAACTAGCTATATGTACGCCAGACCACGTCTCGCGTAACAGGCTTCGCGATATCTCACGAAACACTGTTACGCTGCGACGCGCCTGGCGCACATATAGCTGGGCCTGCGGCGCTGACACCCGAGACGAGTTAAGGAGAGGGCATAGGGTAACAGGGCCTTCTGGGCCCAAAACTTCAGTCAATTGACATTCTCAAACCATTTGTCGGGGGGTCTTTTTACTCTATTACTCTGAAATTAAGGACATGAAATTTCTGCTGTTCGTTAACGGTGTTCATTAAAAGTCCCAATCTTGACAGATTGTTATGTAAAAATCAACGTTTTAGTGATACTAGATAATCTAGGGACCCTAAAGCCCAAAAGAGGGTGTGGTTCGACACGTAATGTGTAGGAAAAGTATTACTCCCTTTACACTTTGTGACATGAAGCCTTTTTTACGATTTAATAGACCATTTTGTCTTTTTCACGTTGTTTTCGCCAAGAAATGCCCCATAGCGCCAAAACGGTACAAGATAGAACAAAACGGACGAAATTTTCGCCCAGAGGGCTCTACTTTACGAGCTACCCATAAGGAACCCATTAACAAAATATTTGTAAAAAATACATTTTGCGACCTGTGGTTTTTGATTTGTTTAAAAGTCAATTTTTGAGCTAAAACGCCCATCTTCGAACTTGATCTGTCTTTTTCTGATACAAAACGACCCTAAAAATCCCAGATCGCTATCTCAATTTATACTCTAGTTATCGTGCGGACAGACAGACACACAAACAGAATGAAACTTTTCGAGTCAGTGGAGTAATGGGCTTCGCTAGTCGCTCAGCCAATTAGGGATGTGCACTGTATGCGACCGTCTGAGCTCATTTCCGGACCGCATAATATTGCATAATTTGACGTGGATCGCATCATAACTCACGAAACACATAAATAGCGC